TATGTAAGTAATGGCACATATATATCAGCTCAATTGTAGGATTTTATTGTATTTAACGAGATTTATTCGGTATTTTTATGACTACATAGAAGTGCTACAGCCGTGCTCATCGTCGGCGACGACGACGACGGACCTACAGCGGGCGGCGACGATGCGCCGGAGAGGCGGGACGCAGCGCCGAAGAAGCGCCTCACCTGCGATGCCGACGCTGTCACTTGACACGTGGTAGTCCGCCCTAGGGGTCTGCTACCAGACTTCTACCCGGACCGCGGCCGGAAGCGGCAAGAGCACGGCGGTCGACGGGGCAGACAGCGAGGACGGGAGTCGGGCAGAGAAGAGGACGAGCCTTATTATACTAGCGTAGACGCTGACGTGTCCTGTATGTACACCGGTGCTCGAGCGTTGAAGTCAGAGGGGACGAGGTGGGGTACCCAGGGGGGGCGTTCAGGTGGGGTGGCAAAATAAGGTTTTCAAGACCCCTTGGTCTCGCGTCTTAGGGTGCAGTCCCAAGTCTAAGGGCTCTCGCTTTTGGTGTCACTCGGGGAGAACGTCGCGCGCGTTGGCTGGTGGGCTACGTAGCCCTGTAGCCCGTAGCCCGTAGCCCTAACGCAAAGGCTACAGGGCTACGGGCTATGGATTCGTAGCCCCGGGCTACAGACTGCTGCACTCGAGCCGAGCTGGGCTATAGGGCTACGCGGACAGGAACCGGCCGGTTACGGGCGTCGGTAGCCCCGGGCTACGTGATGAATCGACCTCCGAAATGTATATATACCCGCTTGCTTGCAGCTCAACGCGCCCCCCCTCCTCTCGTAGATGTAGTATACAGTAGCCTACTAGTATGGTACACAGTATAATTTGATTTTAAGTATGATTCGACGCTACGTGCGTGTGCTAACTGCGACGTATACGTAGTGGCATTTATCATAGTTCGGCGACACAATGCCCATATGTTTAGTTGGTTGTGACACGCATGGCAGAATCAAAATGCTAACGTTGCGGTCGGATGAAATGAAGTATATGTCTGAAGTCTCTTGCTCCGTGGTGTGGCAGCACTTGCAATTGAAGTAGCGTTGCGGAGCACTAATAAATACAGTATACGCATACTTCGCATGCGTGTTATCACTGTTGGACAGATAACGGAAATGGATGCACTGGCACTGTGGCAGATCACGCGCATCTGAAAGTGCCCGACTTTTGTCTTGTTGCATGCAATCGTAAGTCACGCTGCCAGTGTGGTTTGGCGTGGCACTTCGAAAAATTCGACGCTAGTATACATGTACATATCAGGCACATCCAATAATATAACCGATACTATATAGATAAGGACATGGAATACACACTAGGACGCGAGGGGAGAGAAGGGAGGGGATTCAGAGGAGACTAGGATTTATACCCTGGCCTAAGCTCCGCCATTTTGGACGCATTCGCCGGCGTGAGCTTCGGAGCTCTCGGCGGCTTCATTAAGGTCGCAGAGCTAGGCCGGCCATAAGCCAGCCAGTCTGACGCGGGGCTACAGGGCTACGAAATGTCGGAAGCCCGGGCTTTGCCAGGGCTACGGGCTACGGGCTACAGGGCTACGTAGCCCAGCTGCCAGCGGGCGCGACTTTCTGCACTCGGGTGACGACCATGATCACGAGCTGGCGACGGCTCCGATCCTGACCATGGATGCTTACGTCCAGGCAGACTTTGACAACGCTAACGCGCAGTACGGGGTCCTTGGAAGTGTCCAATCAATATTGTGTGTCATTTTTAGTTGGAATACGGGCTGTTGCATCTAATAGAACTCCGAACAGGTCTCCTGGGACGAGTGAAAAGCTTGATGATCCAAGGCTGTACTTCAACACAGTAAATCATTTTGAACTCGCATGATGTCTCCTCTAACAAGTTAAACCTTCCTAGAACGCGCCCTTCTCAACCATTGTCTGCGGTGTTCAAGGCTCCGGGAAATCCCACACTGTCTCCGTCATACTAGAAAGCATGTTCATCACTGGCTACCCGCAGATCGGCTCTCTCGAGAAGGAGCTCTCCGGGCTAGTCTTGCATTTCGGTGACGGGGGCGTGAATTCCCGGCCGTGCGAAGCAGCATGGCTGGGTGTCTCGGACGTGTCTGGTGTCACGCCCCCGCCGGTGCGTGTTTTTGTGGCAAAGTCTTCACTAAATACTATGCAGGCGATCTACCGGCCGCTGGGGAGCAATGTAACTGTGCAGGCTTTGCTGTTCAAGCAGTCAGAGCTGGATGCAGAGGCATTCCTCTCCATGATGGCTGTGGAGTCGAGCGACTCTGCACCGTTGTATGTACAGGTTATCCTGGTGCGCGCCCTGTTCCTTGTTCCGCGAGCTTATCTCTGTAACGTAACATCTCACTTCACTAGTCGATATTGAGGGACCTCGGAGAGAACTTCACCGCGGATGATTTCAAGAAGAGATTGGAAGAACACAAGCGTAACTGGAACCCTGCGCAGCTGGCATGTCTCGAACAACGGATGGCACTCATGAAGACATTTACCGCATCTGAAAAGGACGTCAAAAGTCGAAGGCCCCTGTTTGCTAAGGCAAATCACGATCATTGACCTCTCCAGCCCCTTTATTGACGCCGCGTCCGCATGCGGGATATTCGAGATCACCACTAGGCTTTTCCTTCGGTCAGATGTCGGGACTGGCAAAGTCCTAGTCGTTGACGAGGCGCACAAAGTAAATGCCACGCACCTGTTACGAAGCGCTGATTACGATGCTTATCCAGTATCTCTCTGTCAATAACGGCTCATCTGGATTAACAAATGCGCTCTCAATGCTAATCCGTGAGCAGCGTCATCTCGCCATGCGGGTCATCATCAGCACACAGGGTAAGCAAATGATATCTACAAATTCCGCTGTACTCTACGCTGATCGCCGAACTGCTGCAGAACCTACGGTTGTTCCTCCGGTGCTCCTCGATCTCTGCACGGTCGCGATCCTGCACCGCTTCTCCTCCCCGACCTGGTGGGACCACATCATCAAGCACGTCTCCGCAGACTTTGCAGGCGGGAAAGTCTTTGACAAGATAGTGCGGCTGAGGGTACGACTGGTCTTCTTCCTTATCCCCGTGCCTTTGCTGAAGGTTTCGCCCATTCTACAGACCGGGGAGGCCATCGTCCTGGCGCCGTCTGGGCTAGGCACATTTACTACAGGGAAGCCCGTCGGCAGCCTGGCGGGACCGAGGTCGCTGGATCAGCTCGGCCGTCGATACATCCTTATGAAGACTAGGAAGAGGGTGGCCGCAGATGGAGGCGCCTCAATCCTCGCCTTGACGAAATGATACCCGCACTACATGTAAACCGACTTCGCCGTTCCTACGTTGTGGGCGAGGCACATGCCTTAGATTTCACTGTATAGCTGCTTATAATTCTTGTCGTACTTCTTGGATAATCACAACCTGACGCGGAGGTTTTACCCTGCAGACACCCGACATCGAGACTGAGTAAAAAAGAATAGATCCAGGTAATATAGCAATACATCAGGGCGTTATATCTTACAACAGGGCACATGCGGGTCGTAGAACCCAAAGCTCTCAGTAAACGTATCGGACTAGACGCGGCTGTTAGCCAGTGTCTCAGTAAGAGTGTCGTCAGTAACAACTCACAGTCAGGATTCTCCTTATCCGTAAGGTCATCAAACGCATGTCTATGCTCAATCCGCTCATTCTCAAAGCACGCACAAGTCAACGTCTTGTCAGTCCACAAAGAAGCGGGCGCACTCACCGGATGCTGCCCGCTCGTCCTGGTCGCCGCGAGGCCCTTCGCGCGGCGCTTGAGCACGTTCTGGCGCATGAGGTGCACGCGCAGGAGGACGATGGCCGTGCACTGGATCGCGTAGATGACGATGTGCACCACGAAGGCTTTCGTGTAGCGCGGGGCGTCGTTGCTCCGGAAGACTGCAGTGTGATGGGTCAGTGATGTATGCGCGACTACGGGAAGTTCAAGGGGCGCGGTGTTTACCTTGCGGACCGACTGCGTTGCCGACTGCCCATGCTCTGTCGAGAGAATTATTATTCAGTAACGCGGGAAGCGGTATCGCAGGGGGGGAACGTACATGAAGACCATACTGGACGCGACGACTTGCTTGGTGCGGCCCGCCACGTTCCCAGACATGACAGCGAGGTTGAGGATGGCGACCGCGCCGAACCCCTGCGTGCAGCTGCACGGGTGACAATCAATACTCTAATCATGCGGAGAAATGAAATTGTAAGATGGGGACGTACTAGAATGCAAGCAGCAATCCCACTTTGGTGTGCGGCGTGGTCGGGACGGCTGAACGGTGCGAACTCATGAGCCAAGGATGTCAAATATAGAGGAGGGCAAGGACAGCCTACTCAGGAATACTATCGTCCCAGCGATATTCGGCAGCGTATAAAGCTACAGCGAAGACCCGATCAACATTTGAATTCCGCACTGGTCACCGGTGGGAAGCACAACACTCACGAACGCAAACAACAGCTTCTGGTTATACCGCGTCGAGAGCCACGCGCCGCTGAACAGGAACGCCATGATGATCGCGCCCTGCGCGATCGCGAGCAGGTACGTCTGCAGCTGCGTGAAGCCCTGGTACGCCGCTCGCAATCAGGAATTCACGGTTGCGGCAGATTGAGGGGACGCACGAAAGCGCTGAGGATGATGTTCGAGAAGGCGCCAAGCCCGCCGGTGGGGAGGCCGTTCGTGAAGGAGATGAAGGTCACCGCCCAGACGGTCGGGTCTGTGAAGCCCTCGACTGTAGTCGTGGAATCAGCATTTTTCTTGCTTACCCCTCCCTCCCGAGTAAGCAAGAAGTACTGTGAACGAAAACTCACTGGCTTGGTGCCACTGCATACCCCCAGTCAGGCTTGTCAAGGCTCGAGGTGAGCTGTAGCGCAGGGCGTACCTTGAACTGCTTGTTCTGTATGCCGGTCTCGTTCGCCCTTACGCGCTCCGCGATGAGCACGCGGTCCTCTTTCGACCAGCACTTGGCGCGCATCGGGCTGTCCGGGAGCCAGAACATCACGAACAGGCCCCACACCACGGTGATGCAGCCGAGCAGCTGCAAAGCAACGGGTGAGCGGTCTGTGCTGACTTGCGGGGATAGCGGTGTGCGCGCGCGCACCGTGAAGAGCAGCTGCCAGTTCTTGATCGCGCCGCTGTGGACGTGCGCGATGCCGTAGGCGATGAGCCCGCCGACGCACTGCTGGAAGCCGTTCATGGCGTAGAACGAGCCGATGACGAGTGCCTGCTCTTTCCGGGTGTACCACATCGTGGACCTGGTTGTCGTTACTCGTTTGTGGGTAGAGTGAGCGGGATAAGATAGGGATACTCACAGGAAGACGAAGGCGGGCTGGCAGACGCATTCGAAGATGCCGAGGAGGGTGCGCACGATGACGAGGCCGGTGAAGTTGTGGCAGGCGGCGGTGCAGGCTAGGACGACGCCCCATGCCATGATGCTGCGGAAAGCAGAGATGAGCATGCAACGTGATATGACGGCACAGGGTCCCTTACTTGAATGCGAGGAACTTTGCGACGGGCAGGCGTTGCAGGAGGAGGTTGCTTGGGAACTCCCAGACCAATCTGCGGGATTTCTGGTTGGATGCATGGTTAGGCTGCAAGGAACTGCCACTGACATGGCAATGTAGACTGCAATTTGTCCGTCAGGTCATGTGAGAGATGCACAGAGATGACCAAGACAGACCGCAAGTCGTGAGCCAGGCATACTGCTGCCCGACGAGATGGGTGTCTTTGATAATACCCATGATCGATGCGAAATTCAGGGTCCTGTAAGGCGAGTCAATCCAGGCTTGTTTCGGCTGGATTTCCGTCCGTACCCTTTGTCCAAGGTCTGGGCAAAGTAGGTGACGACCATGACGAGGAGGACGCGCTTGTGGACCATCCAGCGGAGGCGCCGGTTGGTGGCGTCGTCGATCTTGGTGTGGACATGGTTCTGGGCGAAGAACTCTGCTACTTCGGCATCGACGCCTTTTGCGGGGGCTGGCAGGCAGTATTGAGTGAAACGCGTCGAGTAAGTGGGCTGGACACTCACGGTCAAGTGTGCTGGCCGAACGGACCTCTGCAAGGTCCTCGATCTGCACGTCCTCTTTGAGAGACATGGTGGCTTACCCGGACGGAGAGCAAACGGGAGCAGCCTCTAAGTATGAGGCTCGTAAACCATCGGCACGAGAATTTCAATCGGGGTCTGATGGCAAGACAAGTCGGTCGTGCTTGCTCGGCGGAGACACCGGGCCGGGGCAGTCAGGCCGCGATATAACAGTCAATGGAACACCGTCCATCGCGCTGTTCACAATGTCCGTCCACTCGCAAAAGGTCGCCGTCGTCCGCACCATCAAGAAACTCGTCGACTGCCTCGTCAACATCAAGGACGACTCCGGCCAGTTCCTGCTCACCTTGGCAGACGGCAGAACCATCGACACAAAGGGCTGGAACGACTGGGAGGTCAGCGCAAAGGCTATCGACCGTCCTCCGCTAACTCCGTTATATTACAGTGGACACACGGGATAGGTGGCTATATTTACGACCCACGCAACCTTCAGCTCACCGCACTCGCCCAGGCTTGTACGGCCTCCTCAAACTCCACCAGATCACAGGCGACCCCGAGCCCCTCCGCATAGCCCTGGCATGGTTCAGGGACCGCTTCGACGCCGGCACGACCAAGAACGTCAACACCATGTCCCCCCTCCTCACCGCCGCCTACCTCCACGAAGCCCGCCATGCCGACTACCTCGTCCACCTCGACTCCTGGGCCGAGTGGCTCATGCACGACATGCCCCGCACCGACGAGGGCGGCCTCCAGCACATCACCTACGTCGACGAGAACCGCCAGCAGCTCTGGGACGACACCCTCATCATGTCCGTCCTCCCCCTCGCCAAGATCGGGCTCGTCCTCGGCCGCCCGGACTACGTCGAGGAGGCAAAGAGGCAGTTTATGCTCCACGTCAAGTACCTCGCCGACCCCGCCACCGGTCTCTGGTTCCACTGTGCGCACATCACCTTACCCGCCTTCCACCCTTCTCATTACTCGTATCCCTAGGCTGGACCTTCGACGGCCGCCACCACTTCAGCCGCGCGCGCTGGGGCCGCGGCAACTCCTGGGTCACCGTCGCCATCCCGGACTTTATCGAGCTCCTCGCGCTCCCGCCCTCCGACGGCCTGCGCCTCTTCCTCGCCGCGACGCTGCGCGCGCAGATCGACGCGCTCGTGCGCTGCCAGGACCCCGCCAGCGGGCTCTGGCACACGCTCCTCGACGACCCGCGCTCGTACCTCGAGGCGTCCGCCACCGCCGGCTTCGCGTACGGGATCCTCAAGGCCATCCGCCTGCGCTTGATCCCCAAGGAGGAGCGGTACCTCGAGTGCGCGCGCAAGGCCGTGCACGCGGTTCTGGCGAATATTTCGGACAGCGGGGAGCTGCTGCAGGTGTCGTTTGGCACGCCGGTCTTTGACGATTTGGAGGGGTACAGGCAGATACCCTTGACCAGCATGCCGTACGGGCAGAGCTTGGCCCTCTTAGCCTTGACGGAGCACCTTAGAACATTCATATGAGCGAGAATAATGATGAAACATAGAAGTATTTGTCCACGCTGGCCTGCAACAGTAGTGTAAAGTGCAACAAGTTCAAGGAAGTCGATGATGGTCGGTAGCAGTCACGTGCACAGTATTCAGGGACCGCGCGGGAGCTTCGCCTGGTACTTTGCTACTTACACACCCTCCCTCGCACTCATCCTCCTCGAACACCCAACGTCATGAGCGGCCTCGCAGACGAACTCCTCGCCGACCTCGACGGGCTCTCCGGCGGCGAAGACGAGGACGCGCAGATCCAGCAGGAAGAGCAGCAGCCCGCGGAGGCCTCCACCTCCGGCGTCGGCACGAAGCGCAAGGCCGCCTCGCAGGACGTCGACATGAGCGACGACGACGACGACGACGGCGAGGGCGAGGGCGAAGGGGGTGAAGGAGAGGAGAACGACGACGACGCGAAGGTCGGCACGCTGGTCATGGCCGGCGGGATGAAGCCCGCGGAGGAGCTCGACGCGGAGGAGGTGCAGCGCATGGAGCTCGGCGGCGTCGAGGACGTCGGCCAGGTGGCGAAGCTCGAGGGGAGCAAGCGCATGAAGGAGATATTGAAGGTGCGTCGCGCGTGCTGGCGGTGGTGCCGCTGCTGCTGAATCACGGATCCCAGGAAATCGAGAAGTACCAGTCCGCGCCGACGCCCGCCGCGTCCATGTCCACCCTGCCCGCGCACGAGAACCCCGAGTATAACCTCATCGTGCAGGCGAACAACTTGTCGGTCGACGTGGACAATGAGATCCTGGTCGTGAACAAGGCAAGCATGTGTCTAGTGTGCTGGTTGGCTGGGTATTGACGCCTCTGGCTGTCTAGTTCATCCGCGATCACTATGCCACAAAGTTCCCGGAGCTCGAGCAGCTCGTCACAGACCCCGCGATGTACATTCGCGCCGTCCGTGCGCTGGGCAACGCAGAGGTTCGTCTCCTTCACTTTCCAGGGGCGTCCTAGCCCTGACGCGCATACACAGGATCCTACCAAAGTCGACCTCGCCGGTGTACTCCCCCCAGCAGTCATCATGAGTGTCCTAGTCACAGCCACGACAACCTCGGGGCACCAACTAACGGACGCGCAATACGCCGCTGTCCAGCGAGCATGCGACCTCGCCGACCGCTTGGAAGAAGCCCGGAAAAAGGTGAGGAAAATGGATATGATCTGACCGTCATGCCGTCGTGCTTATTGCCGGTTCAGATTTTCATGTACGTGAGCTCGAGAATGAATGTGTTGGCGCCGAACCTATCAGCTATTGTTGGTACTACTACAGCAGCGAAGTTGTTGGGTGTCGCCGGCGGTCTCAGTGGTCTGGCTAAAATGCCCGCGTGCAATGTCCATGTGAGTGCTTGCTTGAGAGAAACTGGTGTGGATGATGGGTTGACGGGATGCTTGGGACGACAGTTGTTGGGAGCGCAGAAGAAGATTGCCGCTGGATTTTCTACCGCGACGCAGAAGCGGCACACTGGTTTCGTATTCCAGTCAGAAGTGGTACAACACACCCCACCGGATTTCCAGTCCAAGATTCAGCGGACAGTTGGTGCCAAGTGCGTGCTCGCTGCGCGGATGGACCTGGAGCGCAGAAGAACGGACGGTGAGCGCATGTACGCTGACTGTATGCTGGATCAGAGCTCATTTCTCGTATCCGAGACAGGGAGCTACGGCTCGGAACTGCGGGAGAAAATCGAGAAGCAGATAGATCGCCTCGCGGCGCCTCTCCCGCCCAAGGTTATCAAGGCTTTACCAGTTCCCAACGACGGTCCTAAGAAGAGGCGCGGTGGTCGACGGTGGGTTGCTGCCAATGCTGCTGATGTTTCGATAATCTAACCTTTGTGCAGTGCGCGGAAAGCAAAGGAGGCATATGCGCAGACAGAACTGCGGAAGCTGCAGAACCGGATGGCGTTTGGCCAGCCGGAAGAAGAAGTCGGCGCGTTCGACCAGACGAAGGGTCTCGGAATGATTGGTGTCGGGACGGGCAAAGTGCGGGCTGGCATGGGCGATGCGAAGAGCAGAGGTTTGTGCCATTTTACACACCTTTCCGTCGAGCTGGAGCTGATTTGTTAAAATAGCGAAATTGTCAAAGGCGAACAAGCTGCGCACGGCAGCCCTCACGAAGGCAGCCCAGTCTTCGCAGACGTCGGGTACTGCTACTTCTTTAACGGTTACTCCTGTGCAAGGTAAGCAGGTTGGGTGGTCTGATACCGCATATGCGCTGATAACTTCTGACAGGATTCGAGCTAACCAACCGTGCGGCTGCTGCGCAGCGAGTCAAGGAGGCGAACGAGCGATGGTTTGCCGGAGGTACTTTCTCGTTCGTGGGGCAGAAGGGAAGCACTTCGTCGAAATGATTTATCGAGGCCGTGGTTCTGATATGTATCTTTTCATGCTCATCGCAACTTATAATTCAATGATATGCATGTGCAATGTGGAATCATAAGTCTCGCCAGTAATTACGAGGGGCACAAACCGATGTATAATTGTGGAGTCACACTACACCAACACCCGGTGAACAGGTTGTGAAACAACGTACGGTAGCATCCAAGCTACTGTACATGTACTTGCGCACAGACCAGCAAGGCGGGAAGTGTCGATGATATCACCTGTCATTGACTGTCTGAACCTTCAAAGCTTCAGCTTCACCTCCCTTGCGGCCGACGTTCACCTAATGTCCCTTTTCCTCCCTCTCAACGGAAACGTCAAACATATCCAAGCGGCGGTTCGCGTTGCCAACCACGCAGCGCTCAAGGCGAGTCCCCGGTAGTTGTGGAAGTCTTGCCCTCATCATGACGATAAACATAGGCGCTCAACGGCTCGCGCTCCGACGGTACCCTGATAGTACGACCTTTCGTCGACGGAACGATGCCGCCTCCTCACCTTCCCCGTTTGACACCTTGGTTCGATTGATGCCCTCTTTGCTGCGCATGCGGACGACTACATCCGGGGGTAAGGGATCCCAACCTACGAGGGAGATCTACTCAGCAAGCGCAGAAAGGTCGCAGAACTGGTTGGGGTGTCAGATGCTGTAGGTAGCATTCGCTTTGCTTGATACACGGGGGTCATGTCCATCTCCCAAGTGTCTCTGCCTTGTTTGTACTTCTAGTATTGTTGGCCACATTGTGTCTCTGTGGCCGGGCAAGGTTAGGCCCATGGCACTACCAATGTAGTGATATGCAATGTGGAAGCATCAACTTCATGAATGATTATGAGGGATATGCAGATATACTAATGTACAACGGTAAAATTACACCACGCTATCGCCAAGCAACACCATCGAAAAATAAAAGCCTACGAGCTACCCGGGGGATGTGCTGTCGCCACTGTCTCCCCAGTAGCGGCGCTCTGCGAGACATCGATGAAGCCCTTCGCCTTTGGGTTACCCGCGGTCTGGCGTTTTGTCCGGTAATCCCGGATGGCGGAGCGGATGGCATCCTCGGCAAGCACTGAACAAAGCTTCGTGAGTTAACGCACTACAGGAAAACAAGGTACACGTACTGGAACAATGTAACTTCACCGGCGGCAGCGCCAACTCCTTCGCAATCTCCGTGTTCTTGATCTTCTCAGCCTCCTCCAGCGACAAGCCCTTGACGCGCTCGGTCATATACGAGCTTGACGCGATGGCACTACCGCATCCAAAGGTCTTGAACTTGACATCGGAGATGATGCCATTTTCGTCGACGCGAATTTGCAGTTTCATGACATCCCCGCAACTACGACGGCGGGTAAGCTCATGCAACGAGACACATAGTAGATGAGAGACTTACGCAGGGGCGCCAACGAGACCTGTGCCCACATCTTTGTCGTTCTTGGGCAGCGACCCGACCTAGAGCAGGCAAAATTATCAGATAAAGCGAGCCCCGACCCTCACAGTGACGTACATTTCTTGGGTTTTCGTAGTGCGAGATCACCTTCTCGTGGTACCCGCGGGCGAGCGCAGGGCGAGCGGCGACTCTGCTTGCGCGGGGGGCGGCGTTGAGAACGGTCTTTGCGACGGACGAGCGGAACATGGTGAAGACGAGGATACTGGCAGCGGTGGGAAGCCTGACGCGGACGGGCTGCCGCTATATAGCCGCGTTTCGTCACCGATGCGGCCGGCGGAGTTTCAATCTCGGAGGCTATCTTGGTGCCACTGAATCAGCCACTACGCAGGGCTCATCCTTCGGCTTTGCTTTCTCTCGGTATAGTCTACATATGCGTCGGCCTGCTGTCCGATAGACAGAGCTGCAGTATACAATCGTTTCTTGCAAGTATACCGTTGAAAGCAACAGAGAGACCTTGCGGCGCAGTTCGTGAACTCCAACCACTCGCGTTCTACTCGAGGACACCCCTCTATCTGTCCTCCGAAACTTCTGCTGCGTCCCTTCAATGTCCCGACCAGCACCCGCGGAAACGCTGCCTCCAACAGCACGCGCCATTGCTCTGATCCTCGCGTCCACTCCGTCCGTGCAGGACGCGCAGCCCGGTGTCCTGCACCAGCTGCTCGAGTTCTCCCACCGGTACACCTCGCAGGTCCTTTCCGACGCGCTGGTCTACGCGGAACATGCTGGAAGATCGGGCAAGATAAGCCATGACGACGTCGTCCTCGCCATCCAGGCGCGTGTCGGCTGGGAGTTTGGTGGGAGAGTTCCCAAGGAGGTGCGAATGCGATTCGTCATATCTGCCATGAGTGTGCTGTATCAACTCGTCGATGATCGCGCAGTACCTCCTTTCTCTTGCAACGCAAACAAATTCTGTTCCCCTGCCGCCTGTTCCGGAGGTCTTTGGCGTCCGTCTCCCTCCAGCGTCGGACTGTCTCACCGCAGTGGACTTTGATCTCATCCCCAACAAGCCCCCACCGACAGAGACCATCTACGACGAGGAAGTCGAGGAAATCGAGGAATCCGACTCGGAGGAGGAGGGCGATGAAGAGATGGAGCCCGCCGCCATCCCCTCTGCCGAACAGGACGACGGGGACGTGAGCATGGTGTCTCATCAGGGTGGCCCAGTAAACGCCATTACCCCATCGGACGCGGATATCATGGGTACTCCTGCAGGCGGGAACGCAGACGAGGGCAGCGACGAAGAGGATGACGGGCTCTTTGCAGGTGGGGACGAGGACGAGGGCAGTGCGGCGGACGAACCGATGGAGGACGCTCTGGCGACGTCGCAGCCCAACGGGCTGAAACGAAAACTCGTAGAGGAAGAGGACTACGACTAGGGAGGGATATTGGACCCTGTACCATAGGTGATGTTCTAACTAGTGTATCATAGCGAACCCATAAAATATACCCAAACCCGCCTGGCGGGCCGAACCCACTGGCATGCATAGCTTGCTTGTGGCGGGTTTATATCCGTCCGCTGATATACAACTGGGTGGCCACAGCGAAGAGGATGACGAACAGCGCGAGAAGAATGAGAATGAACGTTCCCCATCCTGTCCCGTCTTCTCAGCATCCGAACTACGAGTTAGGGAAAGAGCGTCCATACCTCCACCGCTAAATTCAGGAACCTCAATCACACGCAGAGTGTTGTCCGCGCTTCCCGAGATAAGCAATTTTGACGGAGGGTTGAACCGAAGGGCAGTGGGGGGAAGCTCGTGCGCTCTCAAGATGGTCAGGAGGGGCTGATAGGTGGTAAACGTCAGCAGCGTGGCGAACTCGGAAAGCAACTAAGATTTACCGCTAAAGTCGTAGCATCTAGCAGGCCGATGGAAAGATCTGACGATCCATACGCAAGGAACCTCCCGTCCAAGCTATAGGGGACGTTAGGACCAGTTTGTCCCAAGTCATGCAAGCGGGTTTGTCTCACCTGACATCGAAGACGGTTATACTCCCGTCAGACACCTTGCGTTTCTTCTCGACCGTCCAGCCGGATTTATCGCCCTGGATCGTGCAGACGTACGCTCGCCGCGGCGGCGCCTTGCCCTTCCCCCTTGGAGGCGCGGAGTTGATCGCCGAATAGATGATCTTATTGCTGCCCGGCTTGAATCTAAAAAGCCAGGCGTCACAACTGATATACCTCTGGATGAGGGGGACAGTCTACCTCGCAGCGCGGTAGCTGACGTTGTACGACTCTGCGCCGGGGAGCGTGGGCCGCTTGATAGTCTGAGCGAGAGCAAGATCGGGCAGGGGCACTTCTTTCTCTTTGCCCTTTTTGCTCTCTTGGCTGACGCTGATGTCTTTGGGTAGATCGTAGACACGCAGGCCCTTGGTGAGAGTTAAGACCAACTAACGAAGAGGGATGGCTGTTAGGCTGGGTGGTAGACACACGATTAGGGAGTACCCACGGATGAACTTGAGAAGGAGACATCGTAGATCTCGTCGTCGGAGATGTGGACGTCTTTGGTTGCGCGGGACATACTGGGATATGACAATACGGATAGCTGCACGCTAAGGTTAAGCGAAAGATAGAATCGTGCCTGGTAGCAGTCAGCTCACATGGTGCTGTCCAGCAGCTGCCACAAAGTTGCCGTCTTCAGAGAAAGAAGTCGCTCTCTATGTCTATCAGTCCTTGTGGGCAGCGAAACCTCGAAGAATCATTTACCTGGTATTCCTCCTCATCTTCCGGAGGTATAGTACCGTTTGCGCTTTCAAGCTTGAATCTACCCAGATATTTGAGTTCGAGTGATTCTCGTTGACGATGCGAGACGCACTTCTTGTCTTTCACGGACAACATCCGACAATTCTCGTTCTCCCCCCGCAGCATTTTCTCGTGCGAGCTATTTACACCGCACACAATGGCTTTCGTCTACAGGAACGCTTTGGCTTCATTTTCCGGCCAGTCAGAGAAATCATGGAGACATACCTTGGGGTGCGCAGCCATACTCATAGGCACGTCCTCATTCATGGCAAACTCGTACTCGTCCAGGAGGTCCAGGGACTTTTCATTCTCCACACGGTACAACCTCTTTGGCAGCCATGTCTCAGTCTACGCGTAGCAAGAGAGAGCTACGCAGCACACCAGTTTGTTCTTGATCCCACTCCTGGTTGCCCCGCCGCCCCCGCCCAGTACGAGTTCATTGTAGCCCACAAAGGCTGCGGAATAGACTGGGAAAGCGGGAAAGGAGTGCGCTGCGTGTTTGGTGCGCATCTTCGGCGTCGAACAGGCGATTGCGAGTGCTCGTTGTGGCGTCTGGAGAGAGTGCAGAGAGGACGGACGCGAGGCGAACGTGTCAGCTGCTGGTGTGACTGTTTCCACATATAGCGGCGATCGGACCGTGCTGGATTGGCGAGTGCTTCTTGCCCGAGCCTGCTCTGTGCAGCCCATGATGCTGCCTCATTATTCTTAGATCGTCCACTACGCTCGTTGCTCCCCCTCCACTCACAAACTTGTCTCCTGCTCCGACGTGCTTGACGCCGACGCGACCAGCGATGCCCGTTCTATTCCCCCCGCAGTCATGGCCGCCCGTACTCTGGCAGGACAGCGGCCCCGAAGGCATCGAGCTCCCGCACGTAACAATGTCCAGCATCATCGGCGTCACCGTCGCTATTTCCGGGAACGTCCTCATCTCGCTCGCGCTCAACCTCCAGAAACTCGCCCATCGGCGGCTCGAGTCCGAGAAACTCGCGCGGGCCGGCGATGAGAGAGACAAGAACAGGGCGCGGCGCGTAGAGGACGTGATAGAAGAGCACGAAAGGGAGGAAGAGGATAACGGCGAGTACGCGCGCTTCGAGCCCAATACGCAGCCATTCCCGAGCGGCGGGTCGTCCGAGTCGATGCCTCTGCTAACCAATGGCACATCCCTGGTACGGGATTATGGTGCCAGTCCCCTTCCGAGCCCCAATCCCATCTCGGTCCCCGCACCCAAACGGACATTCATGTCTCGCCTCAACCCGTTTCCTCTCCGTCGATCCAAGTCTAGTCCCGCGACTGCCTCATCCCTAGATGTTGACCCGGACGCTTCTCATGCCTTAATACCCGTAGAAATCACAAGTGCGGATGAGTTGAACAAGCCGAGGCGTCATAAGACCAGCAGGAGACTCAAGTCCAGGAACAAGCTTGTAGGAACCCCCAAGCCCGAGCCCGAGCCGGAGGGTAAGGAGAGTGACTACCTGAAATCGAAGCTTTGGTATGTATTTGTTGCTCCCTGACAGACCCAACCATCGATTTTACCAATTCTGCAGGTGGACAGGCTTCCTGCTCATGAACGTCGGAGAGATAGGCAATTTCATCTCCTACGCATTTGCTCCCGCCTCTGTGGTAGCACCCCTAGGCACAGTATGTATGAGCAGCCGCAGTCCTCAAGTCTCTTTACGAACTGATAGGTGTGCCCAAGTTCGCGCTTATCGCCAACTGCGCGTTTGCGCCTTTACTCCTGCATGAACGCTTTCGCAAGGTGCGATCTATCCCCCTCGGGACTTCCGTCCAACTTCGGAGGCGTGTAATAAACTAATGGACCTGCCAGCGTGAAATATTTGGTGTCCTCGTAGCCATTGTCGGCGCCATCACCGTCGTGTTCTCGTCTAACACGTCGGATACGAAGCTTGACCCTCACGGGCTTATTGAAGCTATTTGTCAACAAGCATTCATAACCTACGCTATCGTGTACCTTGTGGGCATGGTTATCCTGTCTGGTCTATCCCGCGGGGAATTAGGCAGGAGATATGTCTTCATAGATGTTGGACTATGTGCACTTTTCGGTGAGCCTGCATACAGAAGTTGGCTGGGTGCTCATGAATTAATCGCGTGGTACTAGGCGGCTTTACTGTCTTATCCACCAAGGGGGTATCGACACTTCTGACAACCCGAGGGTTTGAGATGTTCGCCGAATGGATATCCTACCCTCTGATAGTCGTCCTGATTGGAACGGGGGTTGGGCAGATCCGATACCTCAACCGTGCCCTCATGCGATTCGACGGCAAGGTAAGCGTTGGCTCACCACACCCTAGTTGTAGTCTCTAACGCGTTCCTGCTCTTATAGGTAGTCATACCCATCCAATTCGTCCTGTTCAACCTCTCCGCTATTGTAGGCTCCGCGATCTTGTACGGGGATTTCCGGCGCGCAACGTTCCACGAGATGGTCACCTTCCTCTACGGCTGCGCCGCGACATTTGCAGGGGTGTTCATCATCGCCTGGGCGCCGAGCGGTGCGCCCGACGTCGAAGCCTCTGAATTCGAATACGATGGCGATGCAGGCCAGAGTGAGATCGCGAGCGAAGCAGGCGTGGGAGGCGGTGCGGGTGGGGGCATAGGCAACGGGTTTGGGAGTGTCGGGAGGAGGAGGGCGGCGACGCTCGTGTTGCCGAGTGGGAGTCAACCGGTTTTGAGGAATAAGACGAGCACGGTCAGTCTAATAGGACTCTCGCCTGCTCAGGTACGTGGTGTACAACCCATTACTAGTCGAGCACTTACTGACTGACGTGTATAGGGTCTGCTTCTGGTGCATACGCCGCCTCGAGACGGAATCGTGGGCCGGCCGGGTTCGAGTGCAGGCTTTGACCGAGATGTCACAGCGACGCCGAACTCTGTTGGTCGGCAGAGGGTTGTAAGCTGGGCATCGTTTAACGAGGATGGCCGGAGCAGGAGTCAGGAACGGCGGAGAGTACTGATGTATGGTAGTGCAACCGGGACGCGGGAGAATAGTCTTGTAAGGAACGGCAATGGCAGCGTTGAGAGTAGGTAGACACCCTGTTGTGCGGCTTCTTTACAATAGTAGCGATGATAATTTATTCCCAAACACTGACTACGTAGCTTCTTTGACTACTCTAATAGAAAGGTAATCGCTCATTGGCTCGGATACCTGTGGCAGGGTTAGGGTTAGGACAGCGGACCGGCATAAAAATGGCCTGCCCAGCCCGAGGGCCGAAGCAGGACAGGGAAATATTTAGCGAGTGCATGAGCCGAAGCCCATACAAACCGCAGGGGCCCTCTGCGGACAGGGTCGCCGTGCTATGGAGAGCCCCC